AAGGAGAAGAGAAAGCAGCCAGTTTATCTTAATAGCAGTCATGTTTTCTTATGATTTAAACAAAAATCCAGAAATCTAAATATTTGGTATTCCCTGGGGAGAAAAAGCTTCTAAAGTCAATGCTTTCAATATATCATCTCTGTTTATTTTCAGTTTCTTACAGAATATGAAATATACATGAAGAAATACGCCTGCATACATAACATACTGTACTTCAAAACCATTTTTAGTGAATGTTATTTGGAGTTTAGATAACAACTATGTCTACAAAATTAACACCTATATATAACTAAAATGTTATTTTTTTGTAGACTTGTTTTCAATCAATAAGTATTATCTCTTCAGTAATTAATGCAAGTTAAAAATGAAAATGATAATGCATACCACCAGATTTTAGGGCTACATATGAAATTTGAAGTTATGTCTAGAGAAAAAAAAAGCCTGTGATTTTATTAACATACACAAAATTATACCTATTTGAAACTTTCCTCAAACTCTGAAATAACAACATTATAGCAGCATTTTTTATTTGCTTCACTGTGACATGGCTACCAGAAACGGAAAAGAAATGATAAAAAAAGCTAAAACACAATGATTTAGCATGGTTAAAATTTTGAGTCACAGCTCAATCATCAAATTATGACACCTCCATACAGGTATCTAATAAATTACATGTATTTTAGTGACATAATCAGCTTTGGGAATATAGTCAATGGAATTGTAACAGTGATATATGATGTCAGAGGGGTAGTAGATTGGGGGAGGGAGTTATCATTATGTGAGGGGTGTAATTGTCTATTACTTTGTTTTGGACACCTGAAAACTAAAAAAAAAAATCAGTTTTCAACTTTAGCGTGTTTCTTTTAACAAGTTAAAGAATGGTACATTGTATTTATCTGTTAAAGGGCATATCTTAAATTGTGTTTACTATTTCACCAAAGACTAACTGTAACCAAAACTTAGCTCTAACAACAGAAAATTCTGAGGTTGGTGCCTGTCAAGACAAAGTCGGCTTCAAGCTTCATGTGTCCCCCTCAAGCCCTGCTGACCATAGTCCCCGTGTCTGTGTGTCCCTCAGGGTCTGTCCCCTCACTGCATTAGAAACAAGACCACAAAGACATCACCGGAGTCTTCAGACACAATGGGCCTCCTCCTGTACAACAAACGGAAAGGAAATCTATCACAGCTCAAAGGACGCTGCAGGACGCTCGGTCCCGAGGAAGATTCTTTCTCTAACGTGGTTCCACCTTGCTGTAAGGCTAGCTCTCTTCTGCTTCTCCGTTTTCTGCCCAGAGTAGAAACACCCAGGCATCCTGGACACAAGACCTTTTGCTCCGCTTTCCAGCTTGAAGCTCTTAGGACCAGACAGTGGGGTGAGGACACCAGCAAAATCCCAGCCCTTTCAACCACACAGTTCACCTCAGCGCCAGTCATGTTGGAAGCGAATGGACGCAGTCTAACAGGACATTTTTCTGTTAGTCAGAGTGTCTGGTTTGCTTTAAAACTAAAAAGATGATGAGAGAATAGGGGACAGGGAGGCCTTATTCCACCATAAATATGAGATTAGGCATATTTAAATGAAGAAAAAACATGCATGTGGCTGAATGACTTAACAGCATCAGAGCCAGCAAGGTCTGCCTGGTGGTCACAGATGTGGCTCACAGATGCATGTCCCCAGGACCAGATGTGATTGTCACAGAGCCAGCTGTCAACACACAACAGCAGTGATTTTGATACCAGTAGTTTCTCTATAAAAATAGATTTTCCTAGGTGATCTTTTTCCCCTCAGCACAGTGTGTTTTCTTTCTTAAGAATGGCAATTTGAAAGACAATCATGCGTGTGCAATTCCATGTTCTCCATAAATGAAGTTATTCCTGCCATACTGACATTTAATAACCTGAAACAGTACTCTCTGTGAAGTGCAATATAATATCGCCTAAGGTCTGTCAAAAATAATTGAACTGAGGTTCCGGGCAAGATAGCAGAGCAGGTAAATGTTGTGCTTGTCTCCTCCCGTGAACACATTAAAATTACAACTGAACTATAGAACAATCAACCTGGAGAACCATCTGAAGTCTAGCTGAACAGAAGTTTTATAACTAAGGCATAAAGAAGCAGCCATGTCGGGACTGGTAGAAGGGGCGGAGCTGTGGAATGGCCCCACACCTGCATGTGACGGTTGAGAATCAGGAGGGAGATCTCGGCCATGGGAGTTCTCCCCTGAGGAGTGAGGGACCCCTATTCCTACACCAGGACCCCAACCTGGAGTACTGATGCCGGGAAGAGGAGCCCCCACAACAGGTGGCTGTGAAAACCAGTGGGGATTCCAACCATCCAGATGAGACAGAAGGTGGCTGGAAACCCAGCTGTCCTTTCAAAGGGCCTGAACCCAATCTGTCTCATTTGCAGGCACTCACCTTGAGCTCCAGCAGAGAGACAGTGGCTCAGAGGGCACCAGGGATATACAGGGAGAAACTGAGTTGTGTGGCCTCAAGGTGAGGGCTGGAGGGACAGCCGCCACTGTTCCTGTGTTAAGCCCTCCGCTGCAGCCATCAAACAGGCACCATCTTTCCTGTGCAGAACCTTCCTCTCATGCCTATGGCCACTCCTGAATCGTCAATGGCCTGGTGAGCTCCACGACCCCACCTGGTGACTCCTGAGGCCCCACCCAACCCAACTTGCAAAACACCAGAGGCACGTTTGGTATTGGGCAGCCAGGCCCACCTCGTGCACTGCAGGAGGCGTTCTCAGCAGCAAGCAGCTGGCCTCGACTTGCCCTCAGCTGGAGGCACTTTCAGCCTGAACAGCCAGCACTGGCCCACGCTGCAGTCTTTCTTGGACAACTCTCAGGGACCCCAGGCAGATGATGGCTGGTCTCAGTGTGTTCTGTGCCTTGTGCTAAGTGGCACCAGACTCAGCATTGGCACCCAATCTGAACCTGCATTAACCTGGTGAACACAATTCACCCCACCCTGGTGACTCTCTGAGACTTCGCCTCACCCAACTTGTATACTGCAGGATGCTCTATCAGCAGCTGAGCCTTATGGACAGCCAACAGGTGGCAGCAGGCCGTGCGGTGGCTGACCAGCCATGGATCACTTTGTAGCTCCAACCAGGTAGTCCCTGGTCAGTCACAGGCAGCAGCCACTCTGGGCCTGCACCAGAACCCTTCCCAAAAGGCCCCAGAACTGACACACCTGGAGGCTGGCTTCAGCCCACAACAGAGCACCACCTAATAGCCCCACAAGTGACACACCCAAAGGATGGGCTCAACAGGCACCAGAGCCCACTGGGGCAAATCCCACTCAGAGAGGTAAGCACCCCCACACATGCAGACACATGCAGGCCAATCTTCACACCCAGGCAGCCTGAGGGTCAATCACACCCACTGATGTGTCAATAGCAATCAAGGCTCAACTATAACAGGAGAGCACACACAAGGGACACTCTTGGAGCACCTGGCACAGGTAACCAGGGAGACTTTGCCAGGGCCCCACAGGGCACCTACTACATAAGGCCACCTGGAAAGACTGGGAGACATGGCAGATGTAACTAATACATAGAAACAAACATGGGAGACAGCCAAAATGAAGAAACAAAGAAACACGCTCCAAATGAAAGTACAGGAGAAAACTCCAGAAAAAAAATTAAATGAACTAAAGCAAATTATTCGATACAGAGTTTAAAATACTGGTTATGAGGATGCTCAAGGAACTTACTGGTTTCAACAAAGAGATAGCAAGGATAGAAAAGGACATAGGAACCATAAAAAAGAACCAGTCAGAAGAGTACAATAATTGAAATGAAGAATGCACTAGAAGGAATTGCTAGCAGACTAGATGAAGCAGAAGATCAAATTAACCATTTGGAAACAAGGTAGCAGAAAACACCCAATCATAACAGCAAAAAGGATAAAGAATAAAAACAAAGGGGAGGAGGTAGTTTAACAGACCTCGGGGACAACATCAAGAGTAAAAACATTCACATCATTGGACCAGAAGGAGAAGAGAAAGCA